CTGGAGGGAGCAGTTGCTTTACAGACAGCTACTCTTTTTTGGGATGCAAGGCTTCTAAACTAGCTGCAGGCTGGATGAGGGACTAAGTGGGTCCTAGCCCCCCCCCCAACTTAAGACAATAAGTCTGCACAGCTGAGTGGGTGAAGGGGAGTGGAGCCTGGCACTCATGGATAAACGTGCTGGGAGGCCTGCCCGGGGAGCAGGTCTCTGGGTCGCTTGGCTCACGTCGGTGGTGCATGGGGACAAAGTGGGACGCTGTATGTACACATTTACAGGGCTCAGCAAGGTCAGGGGAAACGAGAAGATGTAGAAAAGGGGGCACTGAGTAACATGGGAGATCCTGTACAGTGGTGGCAGGGGAGAAGGCACAAGGACAAAGACCCCAAACCATGCAAAGACACGGCCTGTGCAGCAGAGCAGATGGGTTCCAGCAGGCGGCAGTGTCAACCCGGGACAACAGCACTGAGATCCTGCAGAAGTGGCCCTGGGATGCCATTCTCAGCCCCCACCACCACTGCTGGTGGCTGCCAGGCAGATATGCCTACGTTACAGCCACAGTGGAAAGAGAGGGGTATTACAATCAACCCCGGAGCACCACTGCCACGTGGGAAGCCTAGTGCACGGTGAGGATGATGGCATCGTGCTCCATGAGGGTCTAGCTCTTAGAAACAAACCTTTCTGGAAAGCAGCCTGTTTTCCCAGGCAGGCAGCAAAGAGTACGGCAGGAAGGCCTCGTGTCGCCCTGCCAGGCGGGGAGGGAGGGCAGACCCAGGGTTCAGGCCACTCCTGCGTCCTGCGCCGTTCATGCATGCACTCAGCTAGAACAAGACGTTAGGACCCAGGAGGACCCTATGGTCAGCAGGAGGAAGGGACTTGCTCAAAGTCACCAGGGAGGCCATGGTCCGTGGGGCAGGCCTCAGTCTAGCCTGAAGCATCACCCTACGGGGCTCCCAAAGGGAAAGCCAATGGAGGGTGCCTGCCATGAAGTCCTAAGTGGTGCCTCTCCTCAGTCTAGAATCCACCTCAGCCTTCCATGGATCAGGCAACCTTGACATGGTGGCTGCCCCCAAACCTTCCCATTACAGTCACATCTAGAGTTAATTTTTAGGTTGAAACTTGCTAATGCATGAACACATACACAGAGCACAAAAAGACCTCATTTCCCCAGCTCTCCTGGCCCCTATAGGTTATTGTGGGTTATTAAATCCTTCACTGCAACAGAAGCACCCACACTGTACCCTCCTGCACACAGACCCACTGACTCTGTTCTGCCCCCATTTTGGAATGGAGCCCATGGCCAGTACATCCCAATATGTGTCACCCACTGATTCCCCAGATACCAAGCAGAGATCCTGCCCCCCCACCCAGGACTGCTAACCTCCAGGCTGGTGAGAGCAGCTGGGTCCACGAGCTCCTGAAGGCATCTGGTCTCCCATCCTGGGGACAGAGGGACTTCTCACCATCTGATGGTGTAACAGGAAAAGCCACTGAGAGCCCAGAAGAACTTGCTGTTATTCAGCACCTGGCTTAACAAGCCCAACGGCCATTTGTTATCTCTACCTTTGGACAGCAAACTTCTAGGACGGGTCTCAACTTGGGGCTGCGCATTTGAATTACCTGGGAGCGCTTCAAAAATCCTCATGCCTGAGCCACACCCCACACAATATAACTAGACCCTCTGGGGGCATAGCTCAATCATCTGAAGTTAAAGGTCTCCCCAGGTGAGTCCATGCACAGCCAAAGCGGAGAACCTGTGCTCCAGGGCTTCGTGTTTGGAAGGTTTCTGACCTTCATCTGTGTTCTTAATGGGTCAGAAGTAAGATCAAGAAAAAGGAATTTCCCTCTGACAATTCTCAAAGAAAGCTACAGATTTGCAATACTAAAATAAAGTAACTTGGGTCTAACTCTGGCCAATTCAGTCAAACAATAAAGTCTTATTTTATTTCCACTAGAACTTGTATTTCTTATACCCTCCCACGGAATAGGGCCTACATGAACCAGAAGGTGCTTCCTTTTCTATTAGATACAGAAAACCCACTTGCTGGTTCAGCCAATTTGCTCTGACTTCCACTTGAAGGCAAGGACAGCCTAGCATCATGCAAAATGGGAGTCTACTGCAGGGCCGCCCAAACCCGGGAAGAAAACTTAAGCTCATACAAGCTGTTGCCCATCTCTACCTGGTAGGGTTGCCAGGTTTAACAACAACAAACCCCACACGTGACACCCAGTTAAATTAGAATCACCTGGAAAGCTCTTAAAATTCCTGATATCTCGGCCACACCCTACACCAGTTAAATCAGAACCTGTGGGGATTCAGCCCAGTATTCAAAATTTTTAAGGATCTCTCCATTTTAAATGTCTCAAATATTGCGTGGAACACACACTAAATAAAAATATACATTATTTGTTGTTTATCTGAAATTCAATTTTAACGGGGCATACTGCGTATGATGACGGCCCTGCCACTGAAAGAGAACTCCCAGCTTAAAAAAAAACAAGCAGTTAGAAAACACAGAAGAACCCTCTTTCCCCCCACCCCCGGAACCTGCCCAGGGTCAGTGGGGCTGGCACCCCTGGGGCATCTGCCTCCCCGCCTCGGGTTAGCTATCAAGCACCGAAGATGATTAAACTAACGTACACAATCTTAAAAAGCCAATTTGACAGGCTAGGTTTGATAAGAAACGTATCCTGGCTGAAGAAAGAAAGACGGCTGGATTTAACTTTAGGTTTGTGTTACAAAGAATTCAACCTCCCACTTTGAAGTCTTCGAACCAGCGGCGCTGCCCTCTTCCAGAGATCCCTCCGCAACGCACCAGGCCGGGTGTCCGTTCCCGCGGCGCCCCCTGGAGGCAGAGCTCGGTAGAACGGCGCAGGCCGACAGCTTTGCCGCCCCCTTCCCTCTGGCTGTGTTACAACCTAGCGAGCACGAGGCAGAAATTCCTACCTATACTGTGACACTATATGACTCAGGCCTCTGCTGCCTTCTCTGGTTCCACACTAAAGCAGCTAAAAAACCAAAAACCAAATCAGTTGCTGTCAAGTTGATTCCGACTCATAGCAACCCCAGGTGCTCTGGGTAGAGCTGTGCTCCATAGGGTTTTCAAGGGCGTGACATTTTGGAAGATCGCCAGGCCTTTCTTCCAAAGTGCTTCTGGGTAGCTTCGGACTGCCAACCTTTTGGTTAGCTGTTGACTGCTTAACCGTTACTGCCACTCAGGGATTCCTAAAGCAGCTAAAACCAAAAATCTGTTTCCATCCAGTCAATTCCGATGGGCGGAGCAGACACAGTAGAACTGCCCCATAGGGTTTCCAAGGAGCAGCTGGTGGATTTGAACTGTAAACCTTTTGCTTAGCAGCCGTAGCTCTTAACCACTGAACCACCAGGGCTCCAAAGCAGCTGAAGAGCATATAAAGTTTTACATATAAAATACTTATCTAAAACTCCCTTTCCCTGGGGTGAGCCCTCTCACACACCAGGCCCATCCCTTGACCTTGGTGGCCTCTCTGCAGGACCCCTACTGACGCAAAACCCAGGCCAACACCTTGTCCTGATTCATCTTCTTTCCCTTCTTTTAAATTCATGGTCATTCCCTCCTATTGGTGAATTCTCTAGACGCCCTCCTCACTCTTCCTTTCTACTGCCTGCTTCTCAGACCCTCAGGGAGCCAGGGAGGCCAGTGTCCTAAGGGGTTAAGAGACTCCCAGAAGTCTGATCCAGGGGGTTGGGGCCACCCCCAACAGGAAGACTAGGCCAGGGGTCAATCAATTCAACCCTATTATTTGCAGCATGAAACAAATCCCATGCATACGCTTCAAAAATAAATCACCAAAACGTAACAGAAGCAAAAGTTGATTGGGACGGAGTGAAGATTGGTCCTGGCCACAGCCCTGCCTTTGCGAGCAGGAAAACATACCCAAATCCTCAAATCCCGTTTTCACCCTCTACTGCTCTCTCCTCAACATTCCCAAACCTTCCTTTATATACTAGAAGTGCTGAAGAAAACAAACTGCAGGGGGAAAAATAAGACCATACATGTTTGTGTATGTATTAGAATGCAGGAAACGAATGACAAGCCATATAACACTGAGACAAACTAGACAACTCAAAGAAAGTACTTGTCTTAGTTATCCAGTGCTGCTAAAACAAAAATACCAGAAGTGGATGGCTTTAACAAACAAATTTATTTTCTCACAGTTGAGGCGGCTGTAAGCCTGAATGCAGGGTGCCGGCTCTAGGGGGAAGGCTTTGTCTCTGTGGGCTCCGGAGGAAACCGATGCAGCCCTGCTTTCTGCGCTCCTTCCAACAGGTCTGCTATCTCCAAACTGCTCCAGGGATGGTTCTTTTCTTTTCTTGAAGGTCAACAGATGTAACTCTTGTGGCCTGTTTCCTGCCTGTAGAATTCCAAGAGGCAGACAGCACTCTTTCCTTTCATTCTTTTCTGTCTCCTTCAGTCCAAGCTGATGGGTTTTTTGCTGTGGTAGTTGGTTAGATCCATCAGTCACAGGCTTAATCTCTTTGACGAAAAATTGTGTAGCCATGTCCTTGATGAACATTCTAGGGCACAAGTCCTTAGTTTGTACAACAGAATTTTCCAAATCTTTTAAGTTGTGGTTTCATTTTGGACTTGGAGTTGATTTAAGACTTTTCGAATGATGTGATGGGGTGAATGTGTTTTGCCTGTGGCAAGGACATGAATTTTGGGGGGCTAAAGGTAGAATGTTATGGATTGAATTATGTCCCCCCAAAATATGTGTTGTAAATCCCAATCTCTATGCCTGTGGTTATATTATAATCCCATTTGGGAATGAGTTGTCTGTTATGTTAACGAGGCAGGATTAGTGTAGGGTGTTATCTTAAGTCAATCTGTTTTGAAACATAAAAGAGATTAAACAAACTAGTGAGGAGAAATGGGTTAAGACAGATGCCAAGACACAAGGACATCTGCCAAGGAATAGGAAACAAGCTGAAGAGACAAGGACCTTCCTCCAGAGCTGACAGAGAGAGGAAGCCTTCCCCTAGAGTTGGCACCCCGAATTTGGACTTTTAGCCTCCTAAACTATGAAAAAAGAAGTTTGTTTGTTAAAGCCATCCACTTGTGGTATTTCTGTTACAGCAGCACTAAATTAACTAAGACAGTACCATATCTACCTGCAACGTGTCTACAAAAGAGCACATTAAAAATCTCTCGTGTCAGAGGATGGAAGACTAAGGTTTCCCCAACTGTGTCTCCCCACCAGCACAGCAGTCATCCCCTGGCTGAGAACGGAACACAGGTGTGTTTCTCAAAGTGAACGAAGGGCTCCTGTTACCCAGCTGAGCCCAGAGCTCAGATTTTGAAAATCCAAACCCAAGGCCTGCCATCCTCAGGCTGCGTGGAGAACAGGGCCAGCTCACAGCCTGCGAAGTCTGTGGGCAAGATGGTCCTATGTGTGTCTCTTTTACAATGCTGCTGTGGGGAGGAACTGACAGGCACGTGGACCCCTCTCCTCCCTGACAATCACTTCTTTGGTTGCCCAGTGCCAACAGCTGCCTTAGACACCCCCATCCATCAACCCCCTTTTCTCTTTCCATTTTATACCCAAGTGAATGCTGCTTATTTCTCATTGTCGTAAAAAGAAAACAGAAAGGGGAGGTAGGTAAGCAGGGATGAGGAAGTGCCTGGAGAATGTAAAAAATGCCAGGAACTCTGCAGAGTGAAGCTGTATTCTGCAGCCTCAGGTCCTCTGCAGATCATCCTCTGGCCACACTGTGCACGTGGCACAGAGGGCACCAGAACAGTGACCCTGCTTGGGGAGCACCCTCCTCCCCTCTGAGCTTGAACCCCTGGGCTTGAGAGGTGGCCTGATCCAGGCCAAAGAGGTTGGCGAGGACACAGCTGTTAAGCATTCAAACTCCAGAAGAGATGATAATTTTGCTCCTATCCCGGGGGGGACAGGGTAGGGTAAAAGGCCCTCTCTCAGAGTACTTTTTTAATCCTTATCCCCAGAGGTAGAATCATTTTATCCAGTATCTAAAACACAAGCATCCAGTTCTTGTTATTACAGTAACTCAGGATAGAAGACCTTGCCACCTCCCACCTCCAGCACCCTCTGCCCCTTGCAAAGGTATCACAAAGTGCGTGAACAGCTAACCGCGCAGGTACCATCCACGTGCCGTGAGCAGAGCCCACAACCACAAGACCATGCTCGAGCACAGGCCGCCCCACACATACACCAGTACACGTCACGCATGGTGGCCAGAGATACATTTACAGTGTGAGTGTGAGGGCCGGGCTCTGGGCCCGCATCCTCAGGCAGTGTCTGTCCCTTGGTCCCTGGGTCCCGAGGCTGCTCTGCAGCCAGCCCCCTTGTCTCAGTGTTTGATCTCGAGGATAGAGGGGTTGTGGTCCAGGATGGCGAGGATAATCTTGTCCATGTACTGTCTTAGGCGGAAGTTGATCTCCTCCTGCTCCTTCAGGGCTTCCATTAGCTGAAAGGAACAGGAAAGAAATGGTCAGAGGCGGGGCTGGGATGGGGGCCCAGGTCGCAGGTGAGCCAGTGCCCGAGGACAGAGATGCTCAGGAGGCCCAGGGCAAGGTGGCCCCAAGGCCAACCACAGCACTGGGATGCTAGGACAAGAGTCTACAGCAGTGGCTTGGCTCCCATCTAGGGTATTAAGTATACAGAGGCCAGGCCCTACCCCCAGACAACTTGCTTTAATTGAGCTATGGAAGGGGCCCAGGTGTGGGTAATCTTTTTGTAAAGGCTGAGAATACTGTCCTAAGGTATTTATAATCCAGACTGACATTTAAAGCTCCAGGGCCCCTCAGGGCTGTTTGCTCTGCCTCTCTCCCCACCTCCAGCACTGCCATCGCTCTCCTCCAGGCCAACTCCTAACTTCTCCTTCATCCCAGCTTTTCCCTGTCACTAGGGATAGCGGTACATGGGGACTCTCTGGGGTCGACCCTGATCTGGTTTTCCTGCTCTGAGCAGCTGGGGCTGTCATCACGACAGGTGGGGAGTGGGGGCAGGACACACATGGTGGGGGGTGCCTAGTCCCAGAACAAGAGTCAGAGGACACAGTTACCTCATCACGCGAAGCTGTGTCTATTTCCGCAGCCAGAGACTGGGCTTTGGTCTGGGTAGCAAAGAGGTTCTTTGCTTCATAGAGGCTGAGGCTCAAGATCTGTCCATTCAAGTCGTCATTCTGATCCCGCAGCTTATGGTTCTCCTATTGGAAGCAGGACGAAGGCAACATCAATTCCCAGAAGCATCCAGAACACACTTCTCTGCATCCACTGTCTCCTGACTCCCACCAGCACCATCCCCTCAGGTGTACTTCATGGCCAGCTCAGGACGCCATAGGTGATGTGGACTTGGGGGGAGTAGAAGGGCTGGGTCCTGGTCTAGAGGTCTGGGTCCTGGGAGTTCAGGTGGTTTTGAGGAGCCATGTTTCCAGAGACAGTATGGCCCCTGGCTATCCCTTCCTCCCTGGAGGATGGATGATCCAGAGCAGGGGCCTCTGAGGCCCTCAGGGGAGTACCCACCCAGCGGTTAATTCTCCACCACTCACCCTTGGTGAGGGAAAGGGAAGCTCTGGGTCTCTGGGCAGGCCGGTTGGCTTGTCTCCCTGGTTCCTCCTGCAGCCTGGGCTCAGGAGTCCCGCTCTAGTGGGATTTCCTTACCAGAGGTACCCTTGCTCTGCCCAGATCCCGTTTACCAGCTCCATGCTCCTGTTTTGCTTAAAGGCTCCTAACGGCTCACGCTGAGTCCCCTCCTGGATGAGGAGAAGGGCTGGGAGTTTCAGGATTGCTGTGGGGGCCCAACCACCCACACCTTTGCCTTGAGGTAGAACAGACTCAGAGGTGCAATTTATACCTCAGAATTGCCCACCCCCGGGGTCAGGCTGAGCATGGGACTCCACCCAACTTCATTCCCTCACTTGGTCACTGCCCCTCCCTGATCCCACTTCCTCCACTCGTACTGGTCACCAGTGAAGGAAGTGCATTCCACTTGACATGGGATCTTGGGCTCAGGGTCTACACTCTGAGGGAACCCAACACAGCCAGGCACTCATTTGTGGCTGGGCATAGTTGCATTCTTGACCCCAAGTGCCAGCAGAGTGGTGCCTATTTCTTTTTATGGACACAAAGAAAGATCCTGGGATTTCCATCAGACTTACCCTAGAGGTGAGTCCTCCACCTCTAAAATGGGATGACCAGCCCTGACAGTCAGGGTGGTCAGAGGAGCAGATGGGAATGTGGGTGAAAGTGTGTGCTACACTCTTACCCCCACACCATGGTCCCCTCACAGGAGCCCACAGGCTGGGATGAAGACAGCCAGGGTGGGCCTCACCACTAGGCTCCCTTACCCCACTGGACAGAGGCTCCCAGGGCCCACCTGCTTGAGCCGCTTGACCTCATGCTCCAGCTCCACCTCGCGGGCCCTGGCATTGAACTCGCCCAGGCTGGATGACGAGCTGCGGCCCCTGCCTGTCCGCTCGCAGTCCAGCTTGTACATCTGCAGATGCTCCAGTTCCTTCCGCAAGTCTTCAATGAGCTGCATGGGAGAGAGGCAGGTTGGCGAAGGCAGAGACGCTGGGAGAAGCCCTGGTGTCTTCCGGCTGGGGACTCACCTCCTGTGTCGCCTCCCGCTCCTTTTGGAACTCGAGGCGGTTCTGCCGCAGCTTGTCCATCATGCGCTTGTACAGGTCCATCTCATCCTTGAGCCGCAGGCTGGTGTCCTCCAGCCGGTCGGACATGCGCTGCCGCTCCTGGAACCAGGAGACCCCAGTCAGAGGAGGAGAGGCCCCAGGGCCCAAAGCCAGTTCAAGGAAAGGGATTTCTCTGGGGATCTGGACCCCAACGTGGCAAATGGACAATCAGCCCAGCTTCCCTGGACAGAGCCCTCCAACTCACAGCTTCAAATGGCCAGATCCCCTACGATTCTAGAAACAGCTAGAAAATCCCAGGCCTCTGATGTCCTTCACTGATGCCAGATGGAGCTTGATGAAATAGAAGGCGGCAGCCCATACAGAAGCTAACTTCTTTCTCTCGCGTTTTTAAGACTATTACCCCCTCCCGCCCCCGGTATGTAAGAAAATATATTCACTGTAGAAAACTTGGAAAATCAAAAATATAGAAAAACAGCCCATTGTTTTGTTGCACTTCTTTGCTGGGCCAACTCTGACACTAGACACTCATGGCAACCGATGTCCAGCATTGCCTCCTGGGGAATAGGCTCAGGAGCCGAGTACAAGACACCCGCACCTGTGCTCACCTCGTCCAGCTTCTCTGTTTGCGACTTGAGCCGAGTCACTGTCGTTCTAAGCTCTGTATTTTCTTCCTCTAACTGCTGCACCCTGGGGAAAGGACATGGAGATTAGCTCACGACGGGCTGACAAGATGCACTGATTTTCTCCTCAGAGAAGGAGGGAAGACACCAGAAACAGTGAGAGAGAAGAAAATATAAATTGACCCAACTGATAACACAGCCCTGAGGTTCCTGACATCCAAGGCAAGATGGCAGAGACACTAATGGTCATTCTTCTTCTTCTTTTTGTTTTTGATAAAAGAAAACATTAATTTGTGAACGAGAACACAATCTTTATGGCCATGTCCTTGTAAGGGGCTTGACACAACACACGGTAATGGTGTCCTGCAGGACGGTGAGCTTTCCTGCAGCTGTTTGTGATAAGGGCCCTCCTGTTACAACGAGCAACCAGAAAGTGGAGACCGTATTTGCTTTTCATTCTTCCGGCAGCATTGCTACGGCTCCTCCCTGAGTGCTCATCAGCCGCCTTGGACACCCACAGGCATTGGCTCTAACAGCAGTGATCCTCCATGTCAGTGTTCACGAAGGACCGTCCTAAAGTGCCTTCCTGAGAAGACAGACCTGGGCACCGAGGTTGCTTCAAATGACCTGAGAGAAGGGGTGCGGGGCTGTCAGGGGAACCGGGACAGCACAGGGTCATTTCTGGCCACCGTCTCCCGCAGGGCATCCCTCCTTCCTCCTGCTCTTACTTCCTCCTTCCTGGAGACATGGTCCCTGGCCTCCACTGCCCTCTGGGTTCCCTAGGAGAGGACCCCAGGCCAGCGCCAGAGAGGAATTGAGACCTGCCGCCCACCCTCTGACGCCTCACAGGGGACGTGAACTGGGGGCACATGAGAAGCAGAGCACGCAGCGGGACCCTGGGAGCAGCACCCCTGGAGTTGTACACAGGGGGCACAGGCTAAGAGACAGTTCCCGAGGGGGCTGGGTCCCTGGGTTTGGTCCTCTGGCCCATGCTCATACTGTCTTCCTCCACCACCCAGTCCCGATCCCCTCTCTCAGGCCAGCGGAGCTGCACAGCCGTCAGATGCAGGCAGAGAGCAGTCAGGCTAATGAGCTACCAGCCTTCAGAAACAGATGCAAAGCAGTAGTTTCTAGAACATAAGCGACAATTTAAAACAAAGCCCTGGTTGATAAAGGTAACAAAGCCGGTCTCAGGCAAGCCAGCCGCACTGTGTGTCTGATGTGGGGTGGCGTGTCTCCTCACCAAACTGCAGAGAGGCCTGGTCCACCAGTTTCCCTAGGGCCTGCTTGACCTCAGCAAGCAGGGAGACCCTTGCCTGAAACCATGAGGTACAAGGTGGGAGCCCAACTCCCAGCCATCTGCCTCAGCAGCCTGCCCCATCTCTCCCCGCCCCGCTGGGCCTAGCAGACTCTAGGAGGCTCAGAGAATGGAGCCTGAGGGGGCCCAGTGAGTACCCAGCAAGGTGGGCTCTTCGGCCTCAGTCAGCTACAAACACAGAACTGGCGGCATCACCACAGCCCTCACTCACGTGCAGTGCTGATGTGCACAGCACCCTGTGGGGCAGACAGGGAGGGGGTGACATATGGAAAACTGAGGCCCAGGGATGTGACAAGGTCACGGAACTACTGGGTGAGCAACCCAGATTCCCAGGCCAATTCTCCTTGCCCTGCCTGCCTCAAGGTTCCAGTAATAAGGCCACAGGTATACCTGAGACACAGGAGCCCACAGAAACCCGGGGCTAAGGTTTTCCGTTCACTTTAGCCCCCGGGGCCCAGGCTCCATCTGCCCAAGTGTCCGGGGTCAGGGGAGAACCTGACAATGGTGGGGGCGGGGGGCTCCAAGCCTGGACATGGGATCTAGTCCTGGAATCAGGGCAGGACCATCCTCTCCCTCAGGCCTCAGTGTCCCGTCTATAAAATGGGCGCCTGCCCCATGGCGCTGTACCTGGAGCGTAGGAGTAGACCAGAGGGCAGAGGTTCTGCAGAAAGGCCCTGGGGGCCCCCAGCAAGGAGGGCAGGAGCTCACCGTGTGTTGAGCAGCTCGATCTCGGTGCTCTTCTCTCTCTCCAGCTTGCTGTAGGCCTCACGGTGGCGCCGCGCCTCCTCCTCCAGTGCCTGCTCGGCCGCGGTCTCCTGGTCCTTCACCATCTCCTCCAGCTCGTGCACCCTGAGGAAAGTGGCACTGACTCAGGTCCAGGGCAAGTCTTCTCACCCGAACCCAAGCTGTGGCCATGGTGAGCCCCAGACCCTGAGTCTTAACACCTCTACTCTGGGGGCGATGGCGTGTTTGCAAGACCTGTGGGCCAGCAGCTGTGCCGGCAGGTGAATCTGGGACACTGAGACATCTAAAGAGAGGAGGAGTGTTAGCCATGCCCACCATGGAGAGGCAGAGACGGCAGTGCTGTCCAGAGGGGAGAGGGGCTGCAGCTGAGAAGGTGGGACTCTCCATGGCAGGGCAGGGAGAGACAACAGGCCTCACCATGGCCTAGATGAAACAGGCCTCAGGTCTCACCCCTCTTCTTTTTCCCTACTCCCTGCTGGCCAATATCCCTCTGATCAATTATTCAGCTTACTGGGCACCTTGACTCCAAAACCAGGCAGGTCCTGGTTACTGGCCCCGAGCATGCCAGGCCCCGTTATGCATGAATAAACTGGCAGCCTACTTGGTATGTCTGCCTGAGGACACTGGCAGCAGTTCCCCCATGAGGCTAACCTTGGGGGAACCAAAGGGTCCATCTGTGGATCCGACAAGGTGGAGGAGCAAACCTTGAGCTGGGATAAGCTTACCAAGTTTCATGCTGCCTTGTGAGGGCAGTTAAGCTCTCCACCCACTGCCTCACGCTATGTTCACTCGGCCTCCCTCCATCGGGAGGAGGAGCAGAGCAACGCCCGGCCCCTTCCCCCGATTCATACTGGCCTCTCCCTCTGCAGAGCTTGTCCCCCAGCAAGGAAGGTCGTGCTCTCATCCTGTGTGACAGTGAGAGACTACAGAGGCAATTCCAACTGCTGCCTTAGACCAGCCGTGGGGCTGCAGGCCTACGGTCAAGGTTAAGCTCCAACCTTTCTCCCTATCTTCCAAAGAACTGTCCTCCTGGTCCCTTGCACTGGTAGGGCCACGTGACATGAGGCAGATGGGTCACAGACCCTCTGTACTGGAAAGGCCATGCGGGTTACCTCCTCCAGAGGCCTTAGCTACAGGGTCAGCCCTCCCGTTCCCCAGGCACAGCCGAGGGCCCCACAGCCAGAGCCTGGCCCTGACCTGTGCACCAGCTGAGTGTTCTCCTGCTTCAGCTTGCTCTTCAGGTCCCCATTGGTCAGGCTGTCATTCTCCAGCTCTGTCACCTTCTTTTCCAGGAAGCTCACCTGCAGCAGTGGGTGGAGGGTGAGGTGGAGACCTTTGAGTCCCCAGGACTGAGAGCCTAGAACTATGGGACTGACGGTCAGGACCTCTGAATGAGCATGAAGAGAACAGACAGTCATGTCTGGTGGGGGTGGGGTGGGTGTGCATGTGCCCACCTCATCAGGGCCACCTACCCCACTGCTGAGCAAGTACAAGGGTCTCCCAAGTCCCCGGACAGCAGCCCAGAGTGCTCCCCACTACCCCTAGGAAGCCCCACACATGAAGTCCCTTCTGCACCCACCAGGGCCCCACCTTCTCTGTGATGTCGTTGTCACAGGAGTCGATACTGTCCCGGAACAGGTCCTCAGTGCTGCCGTTACTGCTGCTGAAGTTGCTGTTGTGCATGAGCTGCCTGCAAGGGTGGAGGAAGGGGCCATCTGGCTGCAGAGGCTCCGCAGAGGCTGAGGGCCCAGATCAGGCTATGGGCTAGGTGAGCATTCAGTACCCCGTAGGCAGCCAGGAAATCCTCTAGGAGTCTGTCCTCACCCAGCCAGGGGAGGGGAGAGTTGCCTAACCTCTGAACCCAACAGATCATCCAGCTCAGGGGATGGCAAAGGGGCTGCTACACTCCTTCCTGAGTCCCTGGCAGACATGGCCAATCAATCACAGCACTCTTCCTGCTGCCTTAGAACCCTTTTCAAACCAGTGTTCTGGCCAGTCCCTAGGAGGTGACTAGAGCTGGCATATGACCCCCCGCCCCCATTCTCCAGTCTGAAAACTGTCCAAAGAAGGCAGCCTGGCTCCAAGGATCTGACAGAAGGCCTGGTCTCCTTGAGGAAGCCTAGCAAGACTCAATCCTCTCTAGTGTGCTGGTTCCCGCCAAATCTCTGCAGACTCTGGGGAAGGGAGAAGGGGAGGGAGAGCCACCTAGACCTTGCAGGGCATGGATTTGTGGGCGGGACTGGAAACAGGCACATGGTCTGCCAAGGTGATCCTTGTCTGAGGCAAAATCGAGCTGCCCCATCTCCCAGCAGCACCCACTTCCCTACTCCCTGACAGGCAGCAGCCAAGGGTCTTAGCCAAGAAGCCATCCCGCCCCAGGCCAGGCAAAAGGCCCCGTTCAGGAAGTAGAACCTGGGCACTCAATGACATCTCCCCAAGCCACGGGTGTGGTCCTGTGCAGGACGTAACCCATTAAGTGGCCAGCTCCAGGGGAGAACAGTCACATCCGGATCTCTGCCAGCGGGAAACCCAGGGTGTCTGTTGGTACAGCTGCCCGCTCCCGAGCAGAGGGAAAGGGACCGACAGCCCTGGGGTGGCTGTGTTTCTTCGGGCAACCCTGGGGAGCCTGCCTGAGGTTGAGGCAGCCGAGGGTTTGGAGCCACCAACCACTGCCAGGAGGGATGGGAGGCTGCGGGAAGGGGAAGCTGGCCCTTCTCTTTCAGAAATGGATGCTCCTCTGGCTGTTGTGCTGCACTGCCTTGGGATGGCCTCACGCCCCTCTGTCCCTCAGCCACATGCAGGGCACCGGCTGGCTCTGGGCTGCTGGCATGGAGCCAGGCCGCTCTGGCAGAGGAACACAGGTAAGGGGACAGCGCTCAACACTTCCTCCCCTGAGGGAGCCTTACCGTCCGAAGGCTGTGCTAGAGATCTTTCGGTTGGGGCTAGACACAGAGAGAGAGAGAAAGAGAGAGAGTCATTGAACAGAAGCTTCTGCTCCACTCCTTTACTCTGCCCTGGCTGCAGGATACCAAAACGCAGGCCAGGCCTTTCCTTCCCACTGATGGGAATTCACTAATGAGCTTGGCTCTGAGAAGGAACACCTGATTTTTCCTGCAGGACAACTCAACCAGGTTATTCAACCCCGGGGGATCAAGCTCACTCTGAGAGCACACTCACCTGCCAAGACAGAGTGGGGCCGCCTTGCCTGCTGCTTCTCCCTTCGGGGCCCACCTTGGCCTCCCGCCCCTACACTCGGCCCTGGGGCCTCACCTGTTGGCCTTTAGGTTTTTCAGCCGGGCTTCCAAATCATTCAGCAGGTTGATTTTCTTGCAGCACTGAGAGCAATAAACATCCAGCAATTCACTGTTGTACGCGTGCCGCATTTTCCTAGGTGTCTGCCCCGCACTGATTCATAAGAGGGAAAGAAGTCACCTTCTTAGTTGCTGTCCAATCTGGTGTCATACCTCACCCTGTTGAGCTTACTTTTAAACTTTACACCTTCATCTGATGCCCCAATACCTCTGAACCTTGTGTGTGTGTGGGGGGGGGGGCAGAAACACAGCCACAGACCAACCCTTCTCCAAGACTCTCTAAGAGAAGAAGCCAGTGAGTTGCACCCATATAACAGATAAGGTGACTGAGAGCTAATGTCAGCATAAGTCAATGTGACTCAGAAGGGTGGGAAGGTATCACGGTAAGTGACCTGGAAGGACCCTTCAACACTGAGGTTACAGGAAGCAACCAAGACCTTCTGGTCTACAGCCTCCCAGGTTGGTTAATTCTGTTTCTCTCTCAAGGTGGAAGGCAGGAGAAGGGACTCCAGGTCCCCAATCAGGATGCAAATGCAGCACACCCAAACCCCAGGAGCAGAGCCCCAGGGCAGCTCAGTGGGAAGGATGGTCTGCTCAGGACTCTGCCTGCCCAGCACCCCCGGGATGAGGCTGGATTGGTTCTGCCACTTTTCCTGAACCCCAAACACCCCAGGCGCCACCTGGAAGACACTGAAGACCCCAGATCCGAGTAGATGTTGGTCCTTGTCTCATCATCGGGGCAGGGGCTGCTGGGGGCACAGTCCACATCATCTCCCTCCCCATAGTCTTCAAACTGCTCCTCATTGCTGATGAGCGAGGTGGTGGAGTGTGTGGAGAGGTCTGACGTCGTCATGGATGGAGTATGTCCCAGGGACCTGAGGGCCAGAAAGCAGCCCAGGTAAGAAGAGCTGTCTGTCAACAAGGCCCCATTCACAGCTGTGGCAGGGAAACTGGACCTTCCAGAAAGTCAGTCAGGGTTACGGATTGGTAGCCCGATCGAATTTGTACCTTGGGACGCTTTTAGGACCCTATTCTGAGGGAAAATCTTACCACAGCAACCGTTTCTGCATAAGAGATATTCAAAGCAATGCTACTCTAGAGTTGCAAGACATTGGTTACCACCTGAAGGTTTAGCTACAGGGCTAAATTATAGTTATTAAATTGTAAGTTAGTAAATTAAACTATTAAATTACAATTATTAAGTTAACCAGTAACCAGTTGCTGGTGAGTCGACTCCAACTCAGTGCAACCCCAGGTGTGTCAGAGTAGAACTGTGCTCCATAGGATTTTCACCAGGCCTTTCTACTGAGGTGCTTCTTGGTGGACTCGGACTTCCAACCTTTTGGTTAGCAGCCGAGTGCATTAACTATTTGTACCAACCAGGGACTCCATTATTAAGTTATAGAATATTAATAGTTGTTGAAAGGTTTGCAAGGAATACCGGCAATAATATGAAAGTAGTATTGTATTTTTTACGCAAACAATGTGCCCTGCTGACTGTGAGTCACCCTCACAAGTGCTGCCACACCAGTCCTCTTCCACATGTGGCTATAAAAAAAAAAAAAATCGCCATACAGCACTTATGAAAACACCCCTGGGGTGGGGGGGCATGGCCAGCAAACAAAGAAGGCACACGTTATTTGTGTAAAAATACAGTAATATAAGTAAAAGAGTAAATACAAAATTTTAGATGCAGTAAGATTATGTAAAGGGTATACACAGGAAAAGTAGGAAATAAAAATATTTAAATGGTAACAGCTTGTGTTTGGGTGGTGAGACTGTGAGTAAAGTGAATTATTCTCTCATTCTTCTCACTTTTGCATTCTTCAAGTTTCCTTTAATGGGCAGATACTCCTTTTACAATCAAATGAAGTTTATAACGAGGAGCCACTAGGCGAGAAGCTTCTCCCGGTTTATACAGGGGGTTTGTGGCCCAAAGAAGCCTTATCCCAATGTATACCAGTCAGAGACCCTAGACTACAGGTCTCTTGTGGGTGAGCCACAGTGTTCTGCTGTAACGGTATCAGGGGCCTAGTTGAGTCCTGTCTATAACCTAAGAACAAAAAGAAGTACAACCCATCACCTGCCAAAACAGATTTTTCCTTTGGTCATTATGCAGTAATTTCTGTGTATCATTACCCGTAAATTAGGGTTTTCCCAACCTCACTAAGTCTCTACACTCAAAAATAGAAAACCTGAAATAGTGGAAGAAGTATGTAAACGATTAGGGCAGTGATTCTCAAACTGTGCCCCTGAGGAAGCCCAGTTTCTGTCTAAGGATCACAGTGTTAACGACTGAATGCTCAAGATCACATCCCATCCCACCCCCACCCCCAACCATATTTTTCCATGTACTTAGGTTCCTTATCACTTCAGGTTGAATTAATCATACTCCTCAGTTCTTTCTCCTATACATTTTACTAAAACACTCTTGGCACCCACTACTGGCTTGACTTGTGACTGGTCCCAGAGAAAGACATCTTCCCCACTGGGAAAGATCAAGCGGCAAATGCTTAGCCAAAAGGGCAACAGGTCTGCTGTCCGTGACCATTTATCCTTGGGTTGGTTAGTCACAGAACAGCTGATGAACTTCCTCAGTCGATAAACAACTCCAGAATGCCCCACTGAGAACATCATGACTCCCAGAACCATTGGAGTTTGAGAACCCCTGCACTGAAAAACATGTATTAGGTTCAACCATATGAAATTGCATTTTTATGTAGGTAAAAATTATTTAAAATTGGCAATTTCATATGATTCAACCAAAAGTGAAACCCCTCTCTCCTCCTTCTCCAAATCTCTGTGGGTCGTAGGTAATCATCACCTTCTACTGATGGGTGGGTCACCACTCCCACCCACCATGGCGTCCTCAGCCATGATGGCGGCTGCCTCTAACCATCCCATAAGTACAGTCTCCCTCCAGAGATTTAGTGGGGGGCTGCTATGGAATGGACTCCCTTCTGATGACACCCCGCTAAAAGATGATGACATTATCCCATTGAACAATGTCACTAAAAATATTATTTTTCAATAATATTTCCTATTTTGAGAGTACATGATCAATATAGAAAATATGGAAATTATAGCAGAGAAATGTGAGGTAATTAAAATTACTAATAACCCCACCATCCAGAAATAACTGCTTAAATTTTCTGGAATAATTCCTTCTAGGCAGCATTTCCCAGTATATAAAATTAAACCCAAACCCATTGCTGTCGAATTGGTTCTGACTCATAGCGACCCTATAGGACTGAGTAGAACTGCCCCATAGGGTTTCCAAGGAGCAGCTAGTAGATTCAAACTGCTGATCTTGTGGTTAGCAGCCGAGCTCTTAACCACTGCGTCTCCAGGGCTCCTATCAGTATACAAGTGTGTTTTTAACAAAACTAATACTATAACTCATGGACATGTTTGTAATCTGCCTTTTTTTTTTTTTTTAAACTAATTGAGATCATTTATCCTGTATCATTAAACAATCAATTAAAACTTAACTTTGCATGGCTGCCTAAAATTCCAGAACTATCCCTATTAAGTAAGCGTTTAGGTTGCTTGGAATTTTTTGCTATTTAAAACACCCATGAAACTAACGCCCCTGATGCAAATCTCGAGCACGTCTCATGTTTACTTCCTGGAGATACATTCTGAGGCTGCATCTCTGGGCCCAGAGGCCACCTATTGAGCTTTGGAGCGTTTTAACTCACTTGTCCTCTGGCAGAAACAGGCCCCCAAGCCCCCCGTCCTTCTCCTCGGCTGGACTCCCGACCGATCCCTCCAGGCTCTGGGCGCTCTCCATAGGGCTGTCCATGTCCAACTCCTCGGGCGGGGCCAGCGTCATAACCTCCTCCTTGTCCTCAGGAAAGAAGCCAGGCTCCCTGGAGATGAGCTCGCCATCAGCAAAGGTGGGGCCTGGGACCTCACTGCCCTGGGAAGCACAGAAGGGGACAGTATGAGCAAGGCCAGCTCCCTGGGGCTCAGTGTTCTTTATCTTACACAGAGGTGTCCGCAGGGAGGCCCAGACCTGGAGACCAAGTGTAAGAATGCCTGGCAATTTGTTGCAGGGGGCCTTTCACACGGGCCAACTCATGAGAGTCCAGTGAGAGCTGCAAGCCCCAGGGACGGCCATCCACGGGGCAGCCAGGTCAGCCACATCATTGGGGCACCCAGTCAGGATGTCAGTACCTGCATCACCAAGACTGCACAAGAAGCCACATGACTCCAAGAAGGTTTCTTAGTGATCCGAGAGTTAAGGACACAGCCACACTGAATGGCCTTCAAGAATAATGACGCTGACCTAGTAGGGTCTGATGCAGCATGGTATAGGGAAGTCTCTACCTTCCTTGACTCCAGGTGCATCAGGTAACCAATCTGAACCTCAGTTTTCTCCTTTGTAAACCGAGAAAGGCAAGGGAATCTTACAAGGGGCATTGTGTCCATTAAATAAGACATTTCAAGAAAATATCTGGCACACAGTGGGACCTCAATAAAGAAATCATGACCACAGATGTTGATGCCTGGGAGGGCACAGTCTGCCTCGGGCACTGCTTCAGTCATCCCGGGGAGCAAGAACACTAGGTCTTTAACTTCTAAACTTGGAGCAGACTTGTCCTTGCTGGGTGTCTCCAGTGCCCAGCACACTGCCTGGCACAATGTCGGAGCTCAATACACTCTTACCTGAACCTTTTGCTAAAATCGTCTTATGGCAAAAGAGCTCTAGCTTTATTCTAGTCTGAAGGGTAGGTCTTTGTAAACCATCTCTGGGGCCAGTTTGCCTCTGAGGATGGGGTACCTTCCAGATGGCACTGATTCTATCTGCTTCCCCCCCACAAGATGTCTACCTATTCCCAAGGTTCCTTGGTGTGCTCCTTGGCTAGGGCTGGCAGGGCTTCCATCAAAGGTGCTTCCCTCTCACCCCTTAAGACTTCAAGAAGAATAACAGGAACAAAGGCTTGGCAAGAGAGGATTAGGGATATCCCAGGAAGCTGGTAATCAGACGGGTGTGGGCGACAGGCTTGGATGTGCCTACCCAGATGTGTGTGGCCACCCGCTGCCATTGGTTAGCAGGCAACCCTTCTGGGGGTCTACCCCACCAGGAAACCCCTGGGCTAAGAATAGATGGTGACTGATGAGCTTGGCTCCGCCTGTGCCACGACACCAGCTTAGCCGCAGATGGACCAGTAAAATTGGCATCAGACAGCCAGACACCTCTGAGTGTGGAGGGGCTGGAGGCCAAAGGGCTGTGTAATTAAGACCACCTGCAGTGTTTACAGGGCCCTTTCCAACAAGATGTCACTAAGCCAGTCCCACATGGCCCTCAACCTCTCAGATCTTGTGCCCTAACCAAGCTCTTCATCTGCAAACCTGAAGTCACATCCTGACAGAAAAGGAAACCAACATTAATGGAGCAGTTACCAAGTTCCGGAGACTGAGCTGAGAGTTAATGAGTCATCTCATTTATGCCTCATGGCCACTCTTCAGGATTGCTACTGTTAGCCCCATTTTACTAACGGGGAAATCGAGGCTCAGAAAGCTGAAGCAGTTTCCAGAAGTCCTCCAGCCAGTAGGCAAGGACCCCGCCTGCCGTCAGCCACCACATGCTTGGTTCTGTGTCTATCATTGATGCCACGTTTCATGGGCTATCAAAACTCACAGGGGCAATGACGATGGTGAACTTTATAGGGACGTATTATGAAGCGCAGGCATTCCATGTACCACAGCAGTTTCCACATCCTGCCCACTTCCCACCCCCATAGGAAACTCTGGGTTAGTGCATACGATACCCAAGGGGAAACAAGGCTGGAGGGAGACAGCCTCTGAGGAGAACCAGGGCCCAGGGAAGCAGCACCACACGTGGTCCACTCCTTCTCCTGGACACCTTTCACCTTCCCAGCCGCAAGGGGAGGGAAAGGTACCACCTGCGAGGAGTGCCTACTCTGTGGCTTTCGGGAGGGCTCCACCATTTGGAAAGCGGGCATTTCTTTTGGTCTTTGTCAGAGCCCTATGAGCTGGCTCTCCTCCTTTTCGTAGTTGACATGACTTGCCTTGGGCCATGTGGGAGTCAGTGGCAGGGCTGGGACTAAAACCTGGAGGACTGTGTGTCCCCGAAGCCCATGCTCTGCCCAGCATTGTGTCAGCTGAGGTCCTGCAGAGGCTGTGCCGACCCTGCTCCCAGAGGGCAGACATAATACCAAGTACAGACTGGCACCCGTGCTCCTCAGGTGCCCAGCTTGGCCTCTGGCCAACTCACGTTTGGCTAAACGGACACCAGGACACAGAGGCCACGTTTCTGCTAGGCACTCTACCCCACCGAGACACCCAACTCACAAGGTACATTCGGGAGCTTGCTGATCGCCCCCGCCCACCTTCCACAGCAGCACATTGTGCTCCTAGCAGCTGGCTCAAACCCCTGAGCTGAGGTGGAGAAAGTGGTCTCAAGTAGCTTGTCTCAGTCACCGGCAGGGTGGTAGGAGGGGTCAGACATCCCCAAAGTAATCTCCACCGCCCCCCCGCCCAAGACTCCTAAGCTCCTCCTCAGACAGATTTTTTGTCTCTGAGTGAAGTCCATTTCTGCCTGGTTCCCCACATTTTACAAAGTGTCCTCTGTTTGCCTCTGTAACACACAGACACACACACACACCCCTCATCCATCCCTCACAAAAGCCCTGTGAGAGCTCCATGAAGTGTCAAGCAAAGATTAATTAAGGTGTCATTGTCTACATCTGACACATGGGGAAGATGAGGCTCAGAGCAGGAGGGTGGCTGCCCTAGGACTCCCTCGTGAGGGCCCTGCCAGGCTCCTGAC